GTCTGACAGTTGACAAGAGTAGGTAATTTCAATAGAAGAGGACTATAAGTAAAAGCTCTTTATATTCAAAGAAAGAAAAATATTTGTCGTTTCACAGTTTCAGTAGCACAGAGCGGTTATTCGTAGCTCAGTTCTTCGGCGCATGTGTCTTTTGATATTACTATAGCCGCTAGACCGCTTCGCAAACAGCGAAACCGTCTGGCTTACGTGGGCATACAACCCGTAAAATTTATATGTACGAGTTACGTGGCGATGTATCTATTTAGTTGAGATTTGTGCTCACCAATGTTATATTTAATAGATTTCGCTGCTTTATTAAAATTATACAGACTAAATATAACGAGTTAGGTGTGTTCTTTTTTCACGATTGCCAGAAAGCTCTCCCAATGCTCTTTCGTCCCAACGCTGCAGTGGCCATAGAAATCGCAGTTACTGCACGTTCAGCTATACATAAACAATGTACGACGAAACAAAAGCGGACACAAAAAAATCTGTGCCGGAAGGTTGATGATCTGTATTAATGTCTACAGTAACGTACGTAGATACGACGTCCCCACTGTATTACAGATAAAAATTACTACCATAATTAATTGTTTTTCTCGAGTAATTACCAATCTTTCGTCTTTACTTATTGATTTTTAGAGTGTAAACATACCTGAGTTCGATTTCAAATCAACATCTCGACTTTAATTTACCGCTTTTTAAACCACCACAGAAACCCTATTTCACCTACATACGCTGCATTTTTAGACTGCCATAAGTCCCATTTGCAGGAGAGGCCTTCGGGCCTGCAAGCCGGTGACTGCAAAACTCTTATGACTAAACGGTACGAGCAGGAAAGACTTTGATGTAGAATGAATAGACACTTGCAGACGGGTACGAGATACGCTTTGATAAATGCATCCATTGGTGTTTCGTGAGGTGTAGGTGTTCCACGTCTTACGCTGTTATCAGGAGGGACGGTCAGGTTTCGCTAATATGCAACACCTGCGTGGATAAGGGCGCTTCGTTTTGTACCGCCACTGGGTTTGCTTTCGTCCGAAAAACTACAAGCTAATCATGGCGTAGAGCCTTTTTTACATGTTGTACAGGTCGTTCATCCATATTTTGTTTGGAGTGCATGGCTGCATCGAATTACCACATATTCAGACAATATCGCTGCGCCTGTTAATGTCAAATATAGCAGTTTTTTCATTGATGCATCCTTACGACTTATCTCACATCCACATAACTCTCACGTTTTAAGTAGATAGAATCAATGGAACATGTTTGACTTGCCATCGCATACAAATCATATCTTCAACTGCTTTGAATACAGTGCTTATTACTGTTATTGTATGAGCTTCAAAAAGTACCACTTTACTCGTCGGGACAAAGAGCAGTTGTGCCGACGTTGCGTTTGTTGAAGCGTGAGTAAATCTACATACATAGGCACGGTAGGTAATCGAATCGATGCATAGCCGTTCGTTGCGACAAGCGGGTCACGTGCACAAACTTGCCGGGTTACTTTAAAATGTCCTGACTGTACTACGTGCAGGGACAGGCAAACGGGTCAATGCACGTTTCGGTTAGTCTGGTAAGAAAACCGGAGCCGTGATAATCTGCGTAAAGCTGTAACCGAAAAACAAACTAAGTGCTCGGTATATAAAATGAGAACCCTTTTAGCTTGCCGATCCACCACTTCGAAAATCGCTGGCAGAGCAGTACCTGTTAGGCTTGGCTGGGTTAGTCTGTAACCGGCGAACACAGCCCTTCTTCAACTATGAAGTCGACACTGGCACCCCTCGCTAGATCTGCTTCCGCAAGCTACAGGCAGACTCCTCGTCCGAACCACCCCATCACTATTCGAGCAGGAAGAAACGAGCGAACGGGCTACTACCGAAAGGCAGGTCGATGGACAAGCAGCCTTCCGTTAAGTACGTATATGAGACGATTCTTTTTGATGTGGATATATTCTATGTGAGAGTGCGTCTACGGCTGTCTGGCCGAGCGCCTCCTACTTACATGGCTGAAAGTAAAAGCACTGAGGGCATAGGAGGAAGACTCAGGATAGGCAGAGTGGCAGCATGTAGGACTATACAGCGAAGGCCATGCTGCCGCTGCTGCCGGTGATGGTGCTGGTGGTAGAGGCAGACACAACAGTCAAAAGCGTTCGACAGAACGGCAACGAACGAAGGAACGGTACGCGTCGTCTCAATGGATGCCGTCCGTACTCTTAGCGATGCGCTCTCGTTCAATTCCCTCTTTCCTTCTATGGAACACTGCAGCCGAACATCCAAGCCAGCTAAGTTGGTCGACCATTTCTTCTTCAGTAGCCCATCGCCTTCCCGTTCCAACAAACCCCTTTTCGTATATCCACAATCCCCTCTTTTTCGCCCCATACTAAACCCCTGCCCTTTGCCTTCCAGTCCTATTCTCTGCGGCCATACCGTCCGAACGAAAATCTTCCCGCACGAAGCAGCATGGCCGTGGTCATGGACAGGTGTCACGCTAACAATGCGCTTGTAAAGCCAATTTACAATTCGCCTCCCCCACCCTTTTGAGAGCTAGAGGCTACCCCCGCCTCTGCTGGCCCTCCAGTGTCATCTCTGTCAAGCCTCATCCTCCTCTCGGTTGCCTGGCTCTCAGTAGAGCTCGCGTTGCCTCTTCTCCACCTTCAGAGGATCCCGCATTATGTCGAAGGCACGCCAGCAAGCTCGGCCGAGTCAGTCAACGTTAGGTTTTGCATTGAGGACACATCGGGCGTTTGCCGTGGAGAAACAGTAGCAGCTCCGCCTGCGACAAAGCAGAAGCTGATGGCATTGCGGGCGCACGGCTGACTGATGAAAGGTGACACGTAGCGAGCACCGCATGTTGACTGGCTGTATGACGATAGGGTTATAGCGGTTGGCGACAAAACAACACAATGACGCCGGACCGCCTGCTGTAATTCTCTGCCTATAAACACATAGAAGGACAGCGGACAAGGATGGACAGGCAGGCAGGCCCAAAATCAAATGGACCTTGGCTATCGTAGTCGCTGAGCGTCAGGCTTTGCCACGAACGCGGGTATTGCAATGTTTTCTATAATATTATAGAAATTGCAATATTTCTATAATAAGTGCAAAGGTTTGATTTCAATTTTATAAATCGGCAAGTTTCAGTCCCTGAAATATGAATGCATTTGTTAAGAGATTCATTATTAGTTGATGTTGAATAATAGTGTTAACTTCTTATGTTGATTAATATCAACTTAGAGAAAAGTGTTTTTGTCTGTTCACGAGCAACATGCAAACATGTGCACTTGATAAGACAATAGCTTAAGCTTGTCTTTTACATTGGCCTCGTATAAACCTGTATTTGTATTAGGACAATTCGCGGTCTAACTTGCACCCTTCAATCAGTGATATGCTTAATATAGATTTCTTACTGATAGTTAACGAATAGTCCCTTTTGCGGAGAAACTCAAGCTGAAGATGGATACGGTTCTGCCCGTAGGCTAGTTTTGTTGTGGTGCTTATTTACAATAGAAATGACCTACACAGAATAATGGCTTTAGTTTAAGACGCCCTGGTACAACAACAATTACGTTAAACTGTACCATAGTAATTTAAGCAAAATCTCTATAACAGCAATTGACAATTATAACTGATCTAGGTCCAACCTGAACCACAAAATGAACAATCTACAGCTGTAGGAATCAAACGATCATTCCAACAACCGGTTTCATCTACTTTTCAAATGCCTGTATACAACACAGACTGATAACAACATAGTGATTAAAAAAAAAATATATATATATATATATATACATGACTACAAAATAATTTTGTTATCACTTATAAGTTCAGCACCAGTAACCGCCTGTGTCCATAAAGGCAAACACCTTCAAACACACAACAATGCTTGTCTAACAATATACAGCCTCAGTTACCAGGGTTATCGAGACCTCTTTCTTAATATCACCCCTACTGCCCGCAATCCGTCTTTACGTGCGTCTCTTATACTCATTTATAGAGTTTAAGGTATATCATTTGGCGGACGTCGGCGGTATTTTTTTGTAGGCAGGCTAATCGCTTAGTCGTCCCTCTGTGTTCTGTCCTTTTCGACCCGGCTCTCATTTGCTTTTCAGTAAACTTCGCCAGCGCCTGCTTTCACCCCCTACAGTCCGGACAGATTTCCTGTCCATCGAAATTCTGCCTCCTCAAGAACTCAGCCCGCCAAAGTGCTCCCCGTCGGTCCATATGGAGTCCAACTTCTACGCGACGACAACAGCTATGGCAACGGGAATCTTGGGTCTCGTCAACCCTTAAGCCTCTGGCCTCTGGCCTCAAATCGCCGAAGCACCAAACAGAGATGGCCGCCTCAGAGATCTGATGCGGGCCTACTGCGCAATTTGCCCCTTTTATCCCGTCCCTCTCCTAGCGAACCCCATCATCCCAATTGAGCCCCCGACCCCTTTCCGTAGCCCCAACCCAACATGATTCCCGACTCGCTTCCTTTTTCGGTCCATCCCCATTAAGTGGGTTGTCTTGAACGATCCAGAAGAGGGCAGCACAAGAGAAAGCTGAGTGGAAATGAGAGAGAGACCACTAGCAGGAAACACTAGCCAAAGCCAGAGCAAGCCAGTAACGATGATCGTATCGCAGTCAATTGTCGCTTTCCGAGTTTCTTTTTGTTATCTTTCCTACTATGCGAATTTCTCTTTCTACCAGCTCGCTCCCTAACTGTCCTCATCCTCAGAAGCTTGGCCATCACTGAACGGCCAACTGAAACTTTTCAGTCTGAACGGAATCTGAGAAAGGGAAGAGCAGTGAGGCGCTTTTTGAAGTGGCGGGAAACGAGGAACCGCGTTGAACGGAGGATGATGGTTCGTCGTTTTTGCCGCAGAGATCTATATTTGCGAGTGGCGCCGACCGACCAACCGATTACGATCTCACAGGCAATCCTGCGCGCAGGGTTCGGCATCGGCGAAAGTACCGAACTGCTCAAGCGACCAGCTGAGTACTGCGCAGAAAGCAATGCTTCTCGCACAGGTTTCCCGCACGCTTGACAGCAGCCACGGCTTTGACAGCTCCGGCAAGGGAAACAGAGAACGCTGTGAGTCCGAATGCACTCCTGACGGTCCTATAGCAGCTACATCTTCTGAAGAAATCGCCACCAAGAGGGCGAGCAAGAAGCACGAGACCACCCAGGTCGCCCAGTCGCAGAGGAAAGAGCGAACCCCTGTCGATTTTGAGTTAATCGAAAAATCAATGTTAGTTTTTCACCCCCTCCCTGGCTCCGTCCAGCTCTTAAACCTCTATCGACCTCTATTTTTCTCTCTCCCTTTGCCCCGGTCTTCTTACGTTCGCCCGTTTCGCTGTTACTCTTAGCTGTGCCCTTATCCCCTGATCCTTCCCTTCGCTCCCTGTCTTTGAAGTCTTTGGCTGTGATTTCGATATATTTCTCAAACGGTCCAAAGAGACATAAAGGATTTTGCTGATCCGAGGCTGTATTATGAGAAGCACCGAGACAGAAAATGGTGCCGATAATGATGTGGAGACAAGATGGCTTTAGATTTAAAAAATACGTACATATATTGATTTAACTTCCATACACATGATGTTTCAAAGGGAAAGCGGTACATAAGTGTTTTCACCTATGGAAGTTCAACCCCCGCTAATGCTGGGATACTGCACATGATTTATAAATAGTAAACACGACGTTACGTAAACAGCGACGAACGTTAAGTTAACATGAATACTACTAAAACCGCGTAACTAACTCCAGGAACTGCTTGAAAATTAACCGGGCTAGCGGAGATTACTCCAACCAGGGAGCCAAATCTATTCAGCAAAGTTTTTGCTAAAATTTTGGTGTTTCTTTTAGCTATCGAGTTGAATAGGAACATGTCCAGTATTTCATAATTTCGTAAAGTTCTATTAGGAGATTTGAAGGATTTCTCCTTTAACCTTCTTCTATAGCCAGTCAATATTGAATGACTCTGCTCCTCATCCATCGCCCAAAGATATTATGAAGGCAGGTTATCATGATTCTTCCAAGGAGTTCTGGAGACTTTTGGTTTCAAATGGCTGGAAAATTCTCCAAACAAAATAAAAACAATAATGTTAAGTGGATTTTGCTCTGCTACAAACCTATCCTTAATCGTTATAAGTTATCACGTAGTGGTATCAGACTTTTTTCTAGCTGATCATTGGGTTTAGGGACGTCAACGCACGCTTTGAGCAAGACATTTTTTTTAGTGCCGAGACGTGTCTATTCACAGACTACGGATAATAATCAAATTTTTGCAACAGATCACCTGATGGCTAGGTAGTCTGTGAAGGTATCAGTGTATAACAGGTTTGCATCTTACGTAGTTGCGTATCTACGGCATATAATCTGACGGCTGGTTGCTGTAAATATGAATTTCGATATTTCATTACTAGATAATCTTCCACTTACTACTTGAGCAGTTTATTAATTGTATTACCTTTCTATTCTTAAATCTAAGGGAAAGAACCGCGCAACAAACCGGTATTGTGGTTCAGTGTTTTTGTTTGACCTGATATTATGTCCAAGTAACTAATTCAACCCTTAATACAGAATTAGATAGATGATCACGAAATTATTTACGACTAGCTAAGGCAGCTGGTAGGACTACGGTTTTCACCCCAATCTACGGAATGAAGGAAATAGAAGAAGGTAGGGATACGAACGCTAGTTCCACCCTATTGCTTGCAGCTGATTTAAATAATATTATACTTGTTAATAAAAACTTATTTTTGCCACTTTTATTTCAACTTTAATAATAATCAATCAATATTCTGATACTAAATATATATATATATATATATATACATATATTCAGTATCAGAATATTGGTTGATTAACAATATTCGCTACAAGCAAGCTATGTTTTATCTTACGCCGTGTGTTCGATAAGTTAAGCCACTCGCTACGCTGGATTCGGCTGGAACGGCCAGTAATTCCAGTGCAGATAGCAGTTACTTAAAGTAAAAGAGCTTAAAATGAAAAACAACTATTTTTCATCATGTAGTTAATGTCTCTCTATGCATCCTTTTTAAATTAAGAAGGACCCTTGCAGGACAACAATCGCCAGGTTCTAGATCCTAGTTCTATGCGATGAGTCGCAGTTATTATATATTGTTATAACTTCACTTGCTTGAATCGAAATGAGATCGCATGTTTGAGCGAACTTTCATAACATTGTGCATACATCAATCGACATAAAAGTGTTTGTAATTAAGGAAGGTCTACAGAGGTTGTTGGAGGATGAGCTTTTAAAAATTGTTTTTTTTTTTTTAATTATTTAAAATTTACCTTTTGTGACAGAAGGCTTTTTACATAACGACAGCTTCTTATTATTTAATTCTATCATAAATAGATCGCAGAGTGAGACCAACAAGGAACATCAGTACAATAATAAGATGACCGTTGCGAAATTAACCTATTGTAAGATAAATATGAATTGAAATAGGCCCCGAACGAAATCCGTTGGTGCAGGCACGATTTCATAAACAGGCTAATTGAAAAATCACAACAAATAGGAGTCCGTGTTTATCCTACTACAATACTTTCACATGGCCTGTATATAAATCCTGAACGTTCGAAGACTTTATATAAATTTGTACGTGAATTTCTGTCGGATAAAAATAGCCCATTCGTTCGATCAGAGATCTCCTAGAAGCATTAGGCTGCTTGAAGAAGTGTGGTCTCTTACTTAAGTTAGTTGGCGTCATACATCGGAAATGTGCGAAATACCAATAATAATTTAAATTAAATTTACCTGATTAAGGGAATGATTTTCAGTAAAAATTGTCTCCTTGGCGATAATGTTTCACCCACAGGTCTCGGGATACGTTTGAGTATTTGAATTGTTAACGTAATGTAAGGTAATCAATGAACTTCTTGTTCAGTTAGAGCCGATAGATGGTCCTGGGCTAGATAACAAGTCACAATTTAGAATCTGCAGGCTAAGTTATCGTCTTGAAATAACAAAACATTTCGGTTGAAAATGAAACGGTCGTTACCTTTTCGGCATTGTGACATGATCTCGTTATGCTGCAGGATAGCCAAAGTGATCAGTGGCTTTCTAATTGCTCATGTATATTAGAAGATTCTTGTAAATAATTTAGGCATTTGCTTGATAAGCGTAACATAGTTTGTAACAGTATATTCTGATGCCCCTTTTTACTGCTACTGGACATGATACTGGTTCGGCTACCAGCTAATAAATAAGGTTCCTTCTTTACGATCCTTTAGAACTTTCTTGTCTGATTGCTCTATTTTGTGACTATAGAGAAAAGGTTGCAATTAGTGAACCCAGCAGACTTTAGTAAATCTCATAAAAAGCTCTTGGTGTCTTCAAAATTTACTGATGCTTTCAACTATGCCTGTCAATTGTCTACTGCGGGTAGTTGCTAACTAGCGACGATTACTGTTGTTACATATATTGCTATTACTTATATAAAAAGGACAAAATCATGCTATCGTTGAACGTCTATAAACGGCAGAAAAAATGGGCATGGTCGGATGTAAATCAAATCGAAATATCTGGTCATCTAAGCGATTAAGCAATATAGGTAACCAGTACGTCCGTTAATGTATTTCCTCTAAAAACAACACCGCATATTTCGGCTTACTCCAACACGTTTCGTGACTCCCGCTTGTAAGTAGTACATTCCTAATATTTTTATCTCCTGATTATCAGAAGATAACGAGAGAACTTACGAGAGAACGAGAGAAGCTACTTGCAGCTTGCTACTCATTGTTGGATATAAGTTATTAGGTTTTTTTGGAAAATAGTAACTTTGACACATGGTGAAATTGTGCCGCAACTCTTAGTCGTACACCTTTGATCAATGTTAGTTCAGCGCTAAAACATGACGCCAGTCAGACGTTTTTTAAACGAGTTCGAGTAATGCCCTCATAAATTCATTTGGCAATACTATATATTTGGCCTACAGATTTATGGAATGCTCGAACACGTGATGTTACTAGACACACACATAGCAGCATTGTTACTGGAAATAGCGATTGAAATAAATACGCTACCGCTCATTGTGGGCTTGTTTCATCAGTGCATCGTCTTGAAGGCGATAGAACACCTTTATTAGTTAATGGTCGCGAACGCGGCAGCGATTGACTACCATTAAGCTCACAAAATCACAATGGCAACACAGAATTCGTTGAGCCTCGTCAATGACTGGGTCGCCATAAAGTGGTCGAGTTTTTGCCACGTAGTTCGCCGGCGGGGTCCTTCGATCGAAGGAACACAATCCGCCGATCCCGTCAAACGCACAATAGTCTCATGGTACGGCCCGATGTCCGTTGGGGACATCAGGTCGTCAAATGAAAAAAAAAACTGATCTTATGGAATTGTTATTCTTTCGATTTTTAGCCAATTTCGCATTAACTATCCCGATAGTTTTATGCTTCCTGTGTTTTTGTCGAATTACCTGCTTGATACAAACGCTATTCGAGTTTTTTGAAAGATTTAGCACGCGTGTTAAATTCAACACTCGAACGGAAGGCATCAAACGCAACTTGAAAATCTGTTATGGTCATACGAACCATATATCGACTTTGGTGCTCTACCTCGATCGGTAAAGGCTTCAATCGTAGACATTCAGCATGAAAGATTAGGAAGCAACGCCAGATCTAGTTAGGAAGCCTGCTGCGATAAGCCTCTGCAACGACTTATTTTAGCCAGGCATATATGGCTAAGTACAAAAGATCAAAGCACAAAGAAAAAAAGGAACGTTTATAACCTATATTTATATTTATAAGCACGACATTGAGCAAGCAACGTCTGGTACGTAAAATCTGTTCGGAAAGGGCTAAAGCGGTGGTTGGGATTAGTCAGACGTTTCAAGTAGATTTCTTCAATGTGTCTAAACGCCGCAATTTAACAAACAGGTATATTTAAGTTATTTAATTGCCATCTCAGTATTCTGTATCACATTTGCCTTAGTTACGTGAAATTATGCCTCGAAGGATCTAAAACCAGAATGATATAGTAGATTTGCTAGTGCCTTCGATATAATGCTAGATATAATCATCTTCAGCGCATTTCTTCTTTTTTTACAGTTTACCCCATGAACATGCAAAAGATTCTTACTTGGGTCATTGATTAAACAGGTCGTGAGTGACTGGTCACACTGTGGGGTTTTCGGGTAGACACAGTACCCCATTGAGCATATGTTACCCCAGAGAATATGCGCGTATAAACATTTGGTCTTAGTGGAATTGGATGCTCCTACATAAAATTATTTTATGTAGGTCATTGGTAGTTTCCAAAGTACAGCATAGCCTTCGCGAGCACCTCTTTGTGAAATGCAATATCAATCGAGTATAGGGGAATTCTATAAAACTACTTTGTTTACGTTGTTCGCGTAACAACTACTACTGCTTCTAATGTCCATCTTTCTCCTTCTGCTAGAGAAAGACGCCTACGACCATTTCCTCGACCCGAGATTGTATACGGTGTTTTTCTCGATTTGTATCGGGAATTCGATTCACGCACGCGCGTATTTTAGTTCTCTCCATGGCCACGTTACTTCGGAAATTATTATTATAGTTACATTGTTTACCGTGCTTTGAATTTCTTCTCCTAAATATTTTACGTATACTTTTATCTTGATCACAGCGATATAGAAGCCAATCTATACACTCTATATCTATGCGGGAACTAAGGACAGTTTCTGAAAAAATACTATATATAAAAAGATAGGTGGCACAATAAACGATATGTCACGATTATTTGACGGTTATAGTAAAGTGCGGACATACACGCATATTGAAGCTATCAAGCGAAAAGGCTATAGCATAGGTAGGCGAACATCGGACATACAAAATCAGCATCTATGCCTACCGTCGCATACTTACAGCCAGCAGCCTCGTCAAGCGAGTCTTGCACTGCAGATCTGCACTCAATGTCCGTATTGTCGTTCCATATTAATGATACACATCTGTAAGACCAAACTTAGAATAACGCCGATACCTTCAGTTTGTTCAGTGACCCATCACCCACTTCCAACGTTGCCGGTGAAAAAAGTTTGACAAGACAGCGAAAGCTAAGTAAATTGTAATTGTGTAGTTCCCGCTGTAGATATCGATCCTACCTAGATCCCGTAACACTATTGGTTTCTATGGCCAGTAAGGCTGCCGTTGTAGGAGTCCGTGTGACGACACAACACTTGTTACTTCAGCAATTGCTGGCGTCACTTCCAGTGATCGATAACGGTACGGCAGCAGCTCGCGGTATGCTGGCACCGCGCACTGGTCATAGAAACCGAAATCAAGCGGCAACTACTTCGGCCAGCGACAGGCAAAAAACCTCCCAATGGAAGAGAGCGGGAAAAAACAGAAGCGATGTTAGCGATGCGCGACGTCCACGAGCAGTAGAACCGGTAGCTGGCGCCGCCACTACCGTAGGCAGTAGTAGCGTTACATTTTCGTCTCTTTTATATGCCCATGTGACTGCCATGGCAGCAATCTGGAGGCTTTTAAGAGGGCTGGGGGCAACGGACGACACTTTTAAAAGACCGTCACTGAAGCTGAGCAGGACCAATCAGTCACATGGCGGGCAGCTGAAGTCTTACCGCAGTCGCACCCAGCCTTTGCCAAACGTCGGCGAAATGGTGAGTGGCTACGGGCACCTCCCGTTTTGTCCACGGCCCACTTGGCCTGATTTGGTTCGTCTTGGCCTGGCTTTAGTCCAGTCTGATCTGCTCCTACTTTGCTTTCCTTGTCCAATCTCAAATCCCAATTACGTGAAAATCCTTTAGAAAGCCCAAGCAGGAGCCTGAGCCTAACTCGTCTCTTCTAACGGAGCCCCAGAGCTGGTGAGTACCCAGCAAATCGGCTGATTCCCAATAGGAGGAACAGTACATCGACGAAGGAGTGTTACGGGGTGATCCAAAAGCGCTGAAGAAAGTGTGCCATTAAGGCATTCGGTGACTGCAGGCAACATTACAACGTTCGCAAGCGTATCAACAAGCCGTCCGAAATAAGCACGTCTTTACCCCTGTCTTGCCCATTCGCACTGCAATAGACGACGGCACATCAGAGACGATGGGCGACTGAAAAATTAACAATTTCCCAGTGGGTACCATGCTTAAGATTGACCGCATCTAATAGCAGGAAGCAAAAGAGCAGCCGTTTTTTGACAGTACTAAAAAAAAAAAGAATGAATGATTGCCATGAAAGTGAGAGAGATTTTCTACCTCTGTTCTTATCGATATTGTTAATCAAAATTGTGTGACTTCTAGCATTGTGTCACGTGTAGTGTATAGCCAATTTATTGTTTCAGCTAATTTTTGATCGAAAGCATTATCATATCGAAACGAGAAGGCAGCCAACAACTAACACCAGCTATTTTTACCTGTTTTTACCCTTTGATTTTGTGCATCTGCGTGTGTGTGTTTGTGCTGTATGTTCAAATTTTTATTACATGTTCGGGGTCTTATTGTGTATGCTCGATTCGTTGTTATCTACAGAAGCGTGCCCAATCCTGGGGCTTGCTGACGCTCGGGACACTTCTATCGGTGCAATGCGATCCGCCAACAATGTTGGCATTCACAACCTCAGCCGAGGATTTAGCTCTTCTCACATCGTCGGAAGCCGCATTTGCAGCTGCCATCGACGCGGAGCTTATGTCTGCGGCCTCGAGTCGAGACTACGACAGTGTTGAGAATATGCGCGGCACGCTCGAACCAGATTTCGGAAACGGTTTCGGCCTTGGATACGGCGACCGACCCGCAGTAAGCAACAATTATGATTATGGTAGTGGTCAAGGTGGAGACAATGACAGCCCAAAGGGGCCGTACGGGGCCAGTATCCAGGGTAGCTATATTGAGGACCATGAATATGGCAGGAAAAATGAGATAGGTCACGATGAAGCAGGCCATCAACGTAACGATGGCGAAAAAGGTGGATATGGGCGACACATGGCAGGTAGAAGCCACATTCAGCGTCACACTTTTAATAGCCATAGACCTACAAGGGAGAGGAGCTATGAACGCAACTATCGACCACAGCGGCTTAGAGCTAGTGGACAGTACCCGCGGTATGTTATGAAGCTATTCTAAGGAACAGAATACTTTAAACAGTGATACGAGCGTGTCGATTTAAAGGTGCTACATTTTCAATTCTTCTTTCTAATAAAGAATAGAACACCACTTAGAGAGCAGCTGAATATTAAGGCGTCGAGTTAAAACCTAATTCATCTACTAACTTTTAAGAGTGACTCATTTATATATAAGAGAAAATAAGCGCACTAAGAAATGTTCTATTAAAGGCTAAATTTGTGGTCAACTACCGGTTCTGTGTCGAGCCGCTGACATCTTTCATAGATAATGAAGACCAATGTGGTCTTAATAATAATAATGATACTAATAATGTTACATAGGGTTTTATTCTAATCAATATTGTCCAGATATGTTTGTCTTGTCGTTGCGATTTTTTTTTACCTTCATTTTGCCTAACAGACAGGAGTACAGTAAAGAGAGTGGTTTTACTTACGAGAAAGTCTACCCCGAAAAAATAATGTCTCGAAGCTACAAAAAGGACTACCGGCGTCCACATAACGGCAATCACCCAGTCGAGTGGCGCAGTGGACGCGACCAGAGCTACGGTTACTCAAATCGGGCTGAGAAAAATTACACACCTCGACCGATTTTTCGCGAGTCAGTCAATCTTACTTAATCATTTATAAATGCCATATGTTCTAGTCTACCTAAGCGTTAGCTACAATTTTTAGGGCTGTCTGATCAACCTAGAAAAGCAAATATGGCATAAGATAAAGAACTATTTAGATTTGTCGTCGTTTTAAAGATCAATCACTCCCATAATCCGACTTGGTCTTGTGTAGTTTACATCTTGGTGTATTATATTACAATGTAGATATTAGGTCCATTGGTCGTTTAAGCCTTGAAGCATGAATGCGTGCGAAACCAGTCGGCCTGACTGTAGATCTAAACCCAGCGTTCTACCATCTACCATCAGGTGACGTAAAGCCATGATAAGTTTACGCATAGGATGAATAGTCTATATTAACAATACGGTTTATGATATTATTTTGCCAAATTTAAGGAATTACAGAGTTACTAATAGTAGAGTCTGTTCAACACGGTTTACGTATGGAACATATATTCATGTGTCCTTCACATGTTAGAAGTTAATCTATAGCATGATCACGTCGCATCGGTACGGTAGGACATGTCTTTGAAACGCTTATATCTTGATTTTAGTTATAGCTTCAACTCCAAAGGGAATATAAGTGGCAATGGCGGTGACCGTGGTCGAGATTATCGAGGAAAAAAAGGCGGCAAAAGCGTAGGACATCACCGCTATGGGAGCTCTTCCGTAAAGACATATGATTATGTCGACCCAAAAGCTGGCTCCAGAACGCGACTCGTCGAATTGGTCAAGGGTAAGGAGTGATTTGGAAGTCAACCCAAGTAGGCACTAACCCTCAGTCCACGTTAAGTATAGGAAATCAATCTTTTAACAATCTAAGTTACCAATCCGTAGCAAAAAGCAACTCAACTAAGTTATGGAAACCGTCCTTAAATACAATGTACCCTGTATTAGACGCATAATACGGGGTAACTAACTTATCAATTAAAGAAGCTCGATGATTATTTCAAGTATTGCTCTTTTTAGTTCTGCTAGATAGAACGAGCTTTGTCGAAGTTCTTGAGAGACCTTTCGCAGCCGAGCTATGGCGCAGTCATGACGGTATATCTAAAACCCGCATTTTAATACGTTTCGACATAGTTCAGTCGCCCGTAAAATAGCGTGAATACGTTTAACCGTCTGTTTCTTTGTCATATCACGCTTGAACAAATATATAGGCACTGAATACAACGTTCCTATATACAACAGTAATATATCTCATGTTCTCGTAGCATGTAGCGTAGAGACACGAGCCATCCTAGCAGCGTATCTAAAAAATATTGTTTTTAATACTACGTGTTCGGGGCTTCCATGTTGTGTTATATCTAGGTCCAGGCGCGCGTGGCCTTATGGAAAAGTATCTTCAACAACCCGACGGTATCGAACGTTACATGAACGATTTTCGAAACGGAGCTTCATCGCTCTAGAGCCCATCGCATGCAACAAGATTCGCGAATGATGACGATGATCTTTGCCGGCTTAATGCTTGGCTACATTTGAGCTAACCTGAAGTTGAAATGTGTGACTGTTAACGAAGCCATCTAGTACAGACAATAACTACAAATGATCTAGCCTATTACAGCGTTAGCCACATAAACAAATGTCGATTCGAATCAAGACGAGCCGAAACGAACTTTTTAGAATCGCATCTTTGCGTATTAGCAGTGTACGCAAATCCACATGATACCAGAGGATAGCCATTGACCGGACGGAAGCGTCCGAATGTGTACAATGCACGCTTAGATAACTAAAAATTGCTTGGAAAAATAACACTTCGGTTTTCTTTTAGAATTTTACGGTCAAAAATCGTCTCCGATATATGCTGGTAGGTTGTGTTTCTTATATTTCCGCCTTCTCCCTCGACGAATCGAGGGAACTGATTCTCTCAATTTGCGAGTACGTTGTTTTGTCAATAAAATCCGTACCTACCTAATTCCTTATTGATCGTTATGGCGGGACGCGATGTGAAATTTCTCTAAAAATAGCATCAGCGCCGTCAGACGACTCAACTTATATTTGTGATAAACTTTTCCTGTTTTAAATAACTTTTCAGTTTGAACGTAAAGTATTAGTTAGGTGCTGGAAATGCTATTGTCCCTTTTAGTTTGAGTCAACTGATATTAGCAGTAATATTCGCAGATGAAGGTATTGTTCTGGACTTGTCGACTACAGTCTGATTTACTACTGTTTTGTTGAAAAGCGTTTTGCCTCTCTTGATACTTACGTATGGCTGAAGCGTACGCGTTGTATTCGGACACACGAAACTGTAGACGAAGCATGAAATATGCATGCCCGGTTTCACAAAAGCGGCTCCAGATAGCTCCAGGATCGAAGAAGCCTCTTATTACCGGCTCAAGCTGAGAGATAAAGCCTTCTACACGATTTTCTCATTTAAAATGCACTAGAAATGTCTTCGATGTCGTCCATACGTCTATTATTTGAATAATCTGTAGGCAGGACTTGCAGGATCTAATTCCCATGAAAAGCTTGTATCTGTCATTAATGTGGATCATGGACCTTGAGAACGGATTACGGATAGAAGCGCGCGAATATACAGGAGAGATCATCCAACAAGTTAGTCTACAAAATGTAATTTCTTTTATAGAACATAGTAAACGATCGCGTGATTATGAAAAATATCCGTTTAAGTCTATGTTACTTGCCGTTGCTCGCATAGCTCTGCGCGTACCTGCTAATAAAAAAAAAAATGGCTCAGTCCGATAATAATTATTCAGAGGATATGCACGCAGAGCCCGAAAATTGTAACGAGGATCGTCACCTGCTCATGCTCACGGTCGTTTTCATTCAGCTTCTTTACTCGTTCGAAATATTGCTTGTCATTTTTTTCTTTGGCTAGCTAGTGGTTCACTGATACACCTCTATAATCATCGCTAGGAAAAGTTCTCCTCGGAATAGCTCGATAGTCGCACCATATCTGCCCTAATAGAATCCGCAGCATTGGTAGACCACTTTTACCAGACAGCGCTACCGTAGCTGTTTACCGCTTTATTTCCTGATTGCCTGGACATTAATGAAATAGTACGTATCCTCTCCAGTCGAATCTTACAGCCATATTTCTTGGTTCTCGCTAAAAGTTGTACGGTTAAAACGTTTTTCTAGGTTATAATCCTTCCAGTAGTTGAGCAAAATTGTATCCACAACTTCATCTCTGCGCACCATGTGGGTCGTCTATCGAAGGTTCATAATAGTTATGTATGAATAAAATTATCTCTTTGGTAGTAATCGTTTGCCCAATGGTCTCGACACTCGTGTGAGCTGCCCTGTACATCGACGTATCTGTACGTGCCGTAAGTGCTGGAACAGGCGTTTCGACAAAGCTAAGTCTATTCTATTTGACCAAAGAGCGAGCACAGTGTCCTACTGAGAGACCGAATCACTATTTCAGGGCTACGAAGGACACACAATGCAAAGTTGTTATGAGCCGAGATCATATTTGAACAAATCTGAAATTAAGACGACGTCAAAGCTGATACAGCAAGCAAAGATTTATGCGATCTGGTAGTGATAGTGTGATATTCGAAAACTATTGAAAAATAGATAGCGCTATACAATCATATAGTATATCGAAGACTATGGTTAACAGTAACCCCAGCGCTAGCTAACTAATTATGCTCTAAATATAATGAAATTAGCTTTTGTAGCTAAAAAGCCTATAACTACCTTCGCGACAGCGGCTTTTGTTTATTTGCACACGTTTCGTTCAATCGCATTCTAGGAACCGGAGTATAATCTCGTAATCCTTCTTGAAAAGCAACCCCTCACCAATTTTACTTGTTATCGAGGTAGAAGGAAAAACGATTAACTGGAAATAGCCTGTATTCAATGTGGAGATAGATCCTGTTGTTTGTAGCCCTTGACGATAAAGATTCCGTTTCAAAATATCAAAAAAATTTATAAAATTATTTGGAAATCTCTTCATGCAAAATCTGCCGCCGTCATAATATCTGGAACGCAGAGAAGATAGGCTCTCGACAAAATACCCAGCGGACGTCTTTCGTCCCTCGTTCTTGCGTGACAACCGGTTTTTTGAACATGTGTGAAACGATGTTCGGTCTACTTTGCTAGTAACTTCGTCTGCATTTGTCGTTCTGCTAGCCGTCTGCTGGCCGTTTGTTCATTGTTGCAGAATCTTACAAAAGTATACGTGTTTCTCGACACGTGTTTTCCCTGTCGTGTGTCGATAAGATAGCCTCTCTGTGCCAACCTCAGCTTTTTCGCTGCTGGATCTTATCAGCATCATTTCTTTTTCACTGGCCTCTTCAGAGCTCCACTAAGTCTTTTTTCTCTCCCCTTTTCTCGCCCTCCCAGTCGGCCGCGTAAGCCTTTCCAGCCTTTCGCCTCTTGCTGCTTCAGCAGGCGTCCCGTTTTCCAAACAGAAGATGCGTGTAGATGGCCAGGCTGGGTGTCGGAGTGTCGTATGCATCCGGGGCCGCTGGATGTTCGCTGGCTCCGGCCACGATGAAGTAAAGGTTTCTTTCTGAAAAGAGACGACTTTCTTAATGTGCGTCCGTAGCTCCTCATGTGTTGCCGCGAGAAGGTTATAACTGAAGAAAAGTGCGGGAGGAGAACAAGCGAGTGAACTGGGGCAACAAAGATGTTGCAGAAGGGCAGACGATGGGAGCGAACGTAGGCGCGGGTAGCATCAGCAGCAAAAACATAGAATGAAGCAAGCTACAGGCCAACCACGATGCTGGCGACCATTAAGAAGACTAAGAAGAAACGATGCTACCTCGATGTCGACGTCAACGACGGCGGCGATCTGCATCAAAATCACCGCTCAGCCAACCATCGCCACTGCAAGCCCGTGAAACCCCAGCGACTGCCGCCGACACAGTCTCTACTCAAAACACACCAACACCTCAAACTCCCCTCACTCCTCACTGCTCTCTCGCTTGCCCTCGTACTCCTGTTCGTCATCCGCTCTCCCCGTAACGTGACGTACTCTGAATCTGGGCAGTGGACGAGGCATAAACTCTTTTGCCGCAAATCGTGGACGAGCGCCAGGCGATCGCCCCCAGCACCTCCAGTAGCACCAGAGCCATCGCAGTTACCACTGCCATCGTTGGACAGAGAACAAACTGCCATTGCTATTGCCACCCCGCGAAATTCAAATCGTCCCACAGCCAACCACTATATCGGTATGCACGTGGGTGTGTGTCGACAGTCGGCACCCACAGCGCAAGACGTCAGAGCTCGGAGATCAAGGCAACACATTGAGACCTGTTGGGGAACACTGTAACGGGGCTGGGAACCAGCTTGATCGACTGGAGGTGAAGGCGAAACGGTTCTGTGTCTTGTCCCAAACGACGGTTGGGTGGTGAGGAAACCCGGGAAAGAACCCCATCGCACTTTATCTGCCCTACCTCACCCTTCGAACCTTCTGCTACGAAACCCTCGATCTTCAATGCATGGTTTCCCGGCGGAATACCCTCGTCCACTGCCCCTGTTTCCTTCCGTGCCAACACGGCGAACAAGCGGACGAGCATCGACGGTTTGAATCGAAAGAATTGGCTCCTTTATTCTCTAGTCCCGTTGCTACTCTTGAATGAGCGCCCATACACTCGTCGTCGATCGAGTTACGAGAGAGCGACGCGTACAGAACGTGTCATTGGAAGCTTCAATGCCCACGGAGGCTGCGCAATAAGGGACTTGTGAAATGGCTGCGAGAAATTGTCCTATGAGGACGAGTCAGTAAGCGCAAAACGGACAACAGCGTCAGCAAAAAGATGACAGGGGCAGTTCTAAGGGAGCCATTGGGAAAGTGTTACGATGAACACGTCGACGAGGAACGAAATACGACTGCAAGTGGTGCCGCTTGTATCAATCTTTTCATTTATGTGTCTCGCTGGGCCTGTTTGTCTGTCGGCTTCCACGAGTCGACGTGATGAAAGGCTGAGTGTGTCCTTGCTTGCGTGTGGGCGCGCAAGTATGTAGACGTATTTGTTTCTCCGTGCACGCAATAGTGCGAACGACGCAGGGCACCGCTGCATCTAGTGGTAGTTTTCCCCTGAGGAGAGACCCCTGGTGGTACAGCCAGCATGTCACTGAGATGGAGCCAGGTGTCTGGACGGCCGATTGCTTGAGTCGTGCAATCTATACAGACGACCAACGGAGGTAAAGGCAGCAATGTCGCTGCAGACACCGACGGCAACCAGGTTAGGAGACGCAAGCGCAGCAGCTAGCTGCCAAATGTTGGGAACAATGTGAAGTTTTAAGCAAAACTTGTAACTCCACACGAATAGGTCAACGCGACTCAAGCAATTGCAGGTAACCAGGTTTCATACTGTCTACACAGGTGCATGTTGCCTAGAAGGCTGTACGAGCATTATTTAAGTGATCACCATTTTACTCAGGTTTTTTGCTTTTCTTTATCAGAGGAACAGATACTTACTACTGTCGTAAATGAGAGATGTGCAGCCATCCAGCAGCAGATTCTGCAAAAAAAAAAAAGCTTCAGACTTGTGTTTCCGAATCCGGATAATTGTATAGGGTGAAAAGGTACCAACCGCAGTAAAGCAGCTTGTCAATTTTTAAAATTCTGCCTATGAAATATAACATCATCACACAATGATTGATTCCTCGAAAAATCAGCCAATCGTACTGTGAAATAATCATAAATTGCTGATTACGCTGTGATATTTAGTTTTTTACAAATGGAACACGGACACAACTAATTTTAGGTAAAGGTTTTAC